TCTAGACCATTTTGAATAAAAAATGTTAGTTTTGTCCCACTGTGCGTCACCGCAGCTCATCTACTATATCGCACGTGATCATTCGCCAATCTTTTTTACTTAATACCTTGAGATTTATTGCGAATATCGCAAAACGGTATTGAACTTTTGCGTTCATCACAATCCACTCTACGTCCTTACGAGAGATTGTGAAGGTGATCTGGGACACTCTATATATAATCACAACTGATTCAATCGATTGATGAAATTAGTTATTAATTTGATTTGATTGATTATACGCTGATTAATAATAAATTTCACCGATCAATTAAATAATTCGCGATTATATGCATGATGACTGATGAATCTCAATTATTGATTTGCCGATTATTTTAATCAAATGAAGTCTTAAACGATTAACGCCCGACATTGTTTGTGTTAGAGATGAAAAGCAGTGAAAACTTGTTTTCTATCGCGAAACCCGTACCACAGGAAATATCCGTTTGTCAATTTTTTATCGTATAATTTCTCTCAGTGCGGCTGCTCGCGAAACCGCGGTCGCTAATATCCGCCATATCTTTGAATTAGAGTCTTATTCGCTCGCTATATTCAGTTAAAACTTGTAGCCCAACAAACACATCTTGCAAACTCCGCACTGGAACGAACGCGAGTGCTACAATACCGCTGAGCTCAGCAAAAATCGTGCATTTGCGCGCATTTCGCGTGTCTGCGAGTCGAACGACTCGACTCGTAGAATGTGTGCGCGCGTGCATGTGCGTGATGTCACCTTTTCCGGATTTTCAAATCGCACTTTCTGCACGCTTCGCCAACGTTGCATCCGCGGTTACGCAAGATAACGTGGGCGAGTTGCAAATTGCAGAAGTTCCCCGCTTGTTTGTCCGTTTGAGAATCACCCGAAGCATTATTCAACGCCAAATGGAGCGTAATGCAACGTCATGCCGGCGCGACGTTTCCAATCCGCTTCTACAAATGTAAAATTCGCGGACAATGCGTCCTGCTTTTCTCGCGGTCATTGCATCCTGCTTTTCTCGCGGTTTCCGCCGCTGCCAAAACGCTATTGGATTTAGCGTCGCGAGAAAACTCGCACGAATTTCATTCCGGCCGAGCCGCGTTAAATTCTCCCCGTGTCGTTGTTTCGACGCGACAACAGAGAGAGAAGATGAAAGACAGCGCGATACGTGCAGTTTGTTTTGAAAGTCGTGCACGCGAGTCTCTCGCTCTTTGAAAAGCTCAACGGAACGGTTGCGATCCTTTTGGAAACAAAGGAACTGTGAACGGCACGATTTGAGAATGTAACTGCACGAGAGTCCCTCGTCCTCTTTACCGGTATGAACCCGCTGCCGGACTTGAACACAAAAGGGAAAAGAGTGGCTCTGAATGTTTATAACACGTCGTTTGCACGTTTGTTTTGTATCACCTTTCGTTTCGGTTTCACCTGACTGAAGTTAAAGCGAAAAATCCTTTAATCCTGACGATAACACCAAGAGCCTGGCGCTTTGTATGTTGGTTATTACATAACAAAACATACGGTTAATAGAGTCGCGGCAGGGCATTAACATAGAAGAAGGTTGCCTCTATCGTGTTTGTACAGTAAAAAACAACAATTGGTTTACTGAGAAGTTTTAACTTCGAAATTCTAAAATACAAGGCATCTAGCCCCGATTTCCTCTATGTGTTGCATTCGTTAATAGTTTGACAAACTTGCTCCGACAATTAACCGCCACATCACAGATAAATGCAACGTCGACTAACAAGTAAACCTACCAAAACTCCGATTTCTTTCTAATTTGGTATAAATGTAGAAGTATGTAGAAGTAATGTAGAAGTACAAAAAATATTTAAGTAATATTTTTTCATTTTGACTCACTTTGAGTTTCACAGGCAGTTTATAGCTTTTTAATGTTCTCATTCCTATCATTAACAAGTACAACAAAAATGCATAAGAAATAAAATTGAATACAAGATATGGTTAAATATTTTTAATAAAATCAACATGCTGAGACGAATTATTCTAAATTTCTTTAGTCGAGATTTCAACCGAAATATTTCAAATCTCCGCTAAATTAGTCAAAAATGGTTCGAATCTCGGCCAAACCGAGAGAGAGAGAGAGAGAGAGAGAGAGAGAGATCTGGCAATTTTAATTAAAATTTTGACAAAATCGGCATAGCTGAGACACGAATCTCGGCCAAACCGAGAAATTATTTGTATACATAATTTTTTTCAACTTTTTACACGTTTTGTTTTAAACATTTTATTATGTATACAAATAATTTTACATATTTGACTTTATATTCATAATCAGTAAACCAAAAACGCTTATATCTTGTATTCAATTTTATTTTTTATGTATTTTTGTTGCACTTGATGATAGGAATGAAAACATTAAAAAGCTATGAACTGCTCGTGAAACTCAAAGTGGACCAAAATAAAAAGATATGACCTAAATATTTTTTGTACTTCTACATTTGTCCCAAATTAGAAACAAATCGGAGTGTAACTTTTGGTTTTACTTGTAAGAATTATTCTTCTGTTATGCTTCGCGCGCGTCATGGAAGCCACAGAGGGATCGCATATAATCCCGAAGTGAACGCGTAACACACGGCCCAATTCGATTACGCTCGCTGACTCGTTTAGCGCGTCCAGTTTCCGTTGACAGAGGTCGCGTTTGTGAAAAATACACCGCGATCGATCGAGAAAGCGAATTGTCCCTCGTCACTCGCTATGGAAACTCGCGGTTCTCTTCTACTTGCAAGTCGTCCTTTCGCATCTATTCGTTTCCGGCAAAGATAATAATTGGTGAAGATAATTGGTGAATGGGTTTTAACGAATGACAAACTGCCGAGAGCGCTGGAAAACGTTGACAAAATTTGAAATACTGACACATTAAGGGAAACACAGAATAAAGTAGTTTAAGAAAGGAACACGAAGCATATGAAAATATCCATCCAATTACGATATGAATAATTGATACATAATAATTAGAAATACGATATTATTACACAACAAAAGAATCTCCTCTTGATTTGAGATACAATAATAATGGAAGTTCATTTGCGAAATATTTCTCCAATGATCCTTCTTCAAAACGGATTTAACAATACGGATTTAACAATGTTTGCGAGTCGCAAGCAGAGTAGATTTTGTAGATAGATACTATATGGTGAAACGAGCTAATTTTGTACATTAATACGTTTTATAACAGAAGAGTATATAATTAATCGCGGCTATCAGAGTCTGCGGCAGCTTACGAATTAATTAATGCTCGTATTCGGATTTAATTTCGTTAATTAATATCTATCGTTTGTGCATTTGAAACATCTCTCTGTGTACGAGTCTGCTATCCGTGTCAAAATCCTCTTTTGTCAGAAGTGAATGTGAATTGATTCTTATTTTGAGGAAAGTCGCTTAATGTACGTAAACTTTGCGGAGTATGTTTTGCTAAAAAAGAAACCGTCATCTGTCAGATCGTTTTGACAGAAAATTAGCAGTGTATTCATAATCATCGAACCCAAAACGCCTATATCTTATATTCAATTTTATTTCTTATGCATTTTTGTTGCACTTGTTGATGATGGGAGTGAAAACATTAAAAAGCTATAAACTACCCGTGAAACTCAAAGTGGGCCAAAATGAGAAAATATGACCTAAATATTTTTTGCACTTCTACATTTGTACCAAATTAGAAAGAAATCGGAATATACCTTTTGGATAGGTTTACTTGTCGGTAGTAACGCTATAGTTCGCAGGAAATAATTAGCCGTCTGTTTACATCATTAGGTTCGTTCGTTTCCAATGAACTTGGCACTAGTGCAATAAGTTAGAGAGAGATATACTTTCTTTCACTCCAACTCATTACAATAATCTGATCTTTGTTAACAAATAATTCATAACCATGTCGTTTACAGTCATGTGGCCACCGTGAACGCGGAGTTCTCGGCTGACTGATCAGAAGCCTTAAGACACCTTTCAGTAATTCGTGCTGCCTGGATACATTGAGGGAAAAATTACCTTAAAATCAACAAGTATTTCTTTGATGGGTTCTATTAACATATTTACTTGAATCTAAATTCTCTTTATTTAAATTAAATATTGTTTACCTGATTTAAGTAAACAATATTTAGTTTAAATACAGAGAATTTAGATTTAAGTAAATGACACCCATCAAAGAAATATCTGTTCATTTTAAGGTAATTTTTGATGGCTGCCATTAACATATTTACTTGAATCTAAATTCTCTTTATTTAAATAAAATATTGTTTACCTGATTTAAGTAAACAATATTTGGTTTAAATAAAGAGAATTTAGATTTAAGTAAATGACACCCATCAAAGAAATATCTGTTTATTTTAAGGTAATTTTTGATGGCTGCCATTAACATATTTACTTGAATCTAAATTCTCTTTATTTAAATTAAATATTATTTACCTGATTTAAGTAAACAATATTTGGTTTAAAGAGAATTTAGATTTAAGTAAATATGTTAATGACACCCATCAAAGAAATATCTGTTCATTTTAAGGTAATTTTTGATGGCTGCCATTAACATATTTACTTGAATCTAAATTCTCTTTATTTAAATTAAATATTATTTACCTGATTTAAGTAAACAATATTTGGTTTAAAGAGAATTTAGATTTAAGTAAATATGTTAATGACACCCATCAAAGAAATATCTGTTTATTTTAAGGTAATTTTTGATGACTGCCATTAACATATTTACTTGAATCTAAATTCTCTTTATTTAAATAAAATATTGTTTACCTGATTTAAGTAAACAATGTTTGGTTTAAATAAAGAGAATTTAGATTTATATATAAGTAAATATGTTAATGTGTGGCACCCATCAGAGAAATATCTGTTGATGTTAAGGTAATTTTTTCCTCAGCGTAGTGCTTTCTCCGCTCAAGTGATGCGAGAACATCTCTTTTTCTCTCTCTCTCTCTCTCTCTTTCTCGCCACGATCGCAGTCCCATAACGACCCCTCGTTTTCTGCTTGCAGAGTGCAGCGGGTGCTGCAGTAAAGGCCCGAGGAGGAACGTAGACCATGCCAGGGCCAGGGGCGGAGTGGTGACCTAGACCTCATCCTCGGCTCCGACCCTCGATGCTTACGCTACGGCTGGTGTCGACTCACTTCCTGAAGCAGCCATAGGCAGTGCCCTTCGCCTGAGAGAAAGGGCTTAGATGCGATGTGCCGTGATAGGGACATGAACCCAGAACTAGTCGAATCGCACGATCTCCGCTTCACGTTGTCGTCGGCGTCGTTGCCGCCGTTGCCGTAAAAAAAAAAAGGGACACGGTCGGCTCGAGATTATCACGCGCACGCGAAGGACTCTTCTTCTTCGACAGCCCTTTTCTCTCTTGCTCTTTCTTTTTTCTCTCTTTCTCTCTCTCTCTCTCTCTCTCTCTCTCTCTCTGTTTCTCTCTCTCTCTCTCTCTCTCTCTCATACATATTCACATCACTCACTCATACACCCTCAATCTGCGGCGAGTACTTTTCTCGTCCGTACACACACACACATACACCTACACGTTCACACCCACGCACGTACACACCACACACAGATACACGCGCACTCACGCACGGCACACAGACACAAGTACCCCCATGCGTCGTTCCTTACCCTCTGACCACGGAAAACGACTTCTTGCTCTTGTGATCCTGCCGGAAACTGAAGTGTGCACGCGAGTATCGCGTTGCTCGGTGCTCGGTGCTCGATACACGCCGTGATCCCCGGTCGCGAACGGGTGCGACGAAGGAGCACGGATCATAACCCGGAAGAGAAACGGCGCCACCAATACTCGCGACGAGTCCAGACGAAGGCAAGGACGAGGGGGGGAAGGTAGGAGGAGTGGGACGAGACAACTGCCACGCTGAACTCGGTGTACTTCAACCTGTGGAGGGTCGCGAGAGAGTGTATTGTGAGTGTTTCTCTTTAACGATTAGCCCCGCCGATACAGCCTAAGCGCGCGTGTCGCTGGGCCGCTCCTGATAAAGTTTATATACGCCGACACGGTTATGGAAATTGAATTTAGCGCGCTAAATAACGCGTTATCACGGCTGCTTAGCATGCGACACGGAGTACAGTGACTTAATGACAGTTACAGGCGTATTCTCTAGCAGAGAATTTCTTTCATTATTAACCGACTGTATGATGTCCTGTTGTAAGTCTTCGAAATCAATGTGGACGATAGAGAAATGGTTCAGGTAAAAATTCCTATCTGAACCATTTGTGAAATTTGGCAAGAAAGTGCCATTCGGATCAAGGTTAGAGTCACGCTTCCAACAAAAATTGGCTGTGATAGACAGAAGGAACTAGTGACGGACAAACGCATGTAACTTACGTCACACTTTCTAGGTCAAAATCGGCCCGTTTTACTCATCGTCCTTTTTCGATCTGTGCGTCACGTATCTGGCGTGACGATTAATGGATTACAGCCGCGCATCCGTGTCAAGTTTATACACCGGGATCGACGCATCGTGTGCGTCCCCTTCACTCCCCGCTCCTCCCTCCTTCCGTTATTTTGGCACAAATTGCCGCAAGTGCGCACGTTAATCTCGTTCGCGTGAAATTCCACGCCAGCGGAGATCAGTCACGAACCGTCTCGTAATATCGTCCGCTTTTTTATTCCCCTCCCGCCCCTCTCCCTCCTCTCCCCTCACCCGTCGCCTGGGAACTGCGCGCCTTTTTTTTTTTTCACGCGGAAGGAACACCGGCGCGAGGTGAATTGATCAATCGCGTTATCGGTTATCGGTGCAGTGGTCAGCGAATTATTTTTTCGATAACGGGCTTTCCGTGTATCGCTGTTTTTTCTCCCCTTTTATTCCGGATGAAATTTACACCGCGGAAAAATTGTAATTACCTCCCGTTCGGAAGTAGGCGGAGGGGAGAAGGAAGAGAACGCGCCGAGGAGTCGCGCCTTCCCCTCCCTCCCCCCCCCCCCCCCCCCCC